GGTGCTGAGGCAGGCAGGGGTCACTGGGCTATACAGATGTTGAACTTTCTTCTCAAGAGGGATGGAGTAAGCAGAGGAGTGACCAAACTGACTGATTTGTCATTGTAGAAGGATCCAGCAGTGCCGGAAAACAGAGGGAGCCCGGTAGCCGGAGTGCAGGGAAGAAATACCCAGACCTCTCTCTCGTCCTGCCGACTCCTGCCGCCGCCTCGCATTGGCTGATCCCGACTGGAAGTCATTGGGCAAAGGAGCTTCTGTAATGCAGTGCACGGAGGTGGCCTCCCGGGGTGCGGAGCAGGGTGCAGAAGCACGGAGAGGCAATTTGGGGAACCCATGGAGAATCACCAGCGCCAGCCCCATGGGAATCACATAGAGGTTGGCCTCTCAGAGGTTCAGAGCCCTCCTTCAGAATCCCTGACCCTCGGCGAGCACTGTTGAAGGAGCGGCAGAGAGACCCAGCCCTGTGTCAGGAGCACAGACTGTCCTCAGAAAGACCTGGGCTTCCGGCCTTCTTGAGCTTTCCTGTGTGGCTTTAGGCAGGTCACTTAACCTTTCTGAGCTTCCTTTTCCTTATCCATAGAGTGAGATGAAGATCATAATAGTAGAACATCTCATAATCACTAATCTCCTTTTCTGAAATCCAACAAACTCAGAAAGCTTTGCATCACCCCCTCCCTCCAGAAAAGTAAGGGATAAAATTTAGAGGCAAGATCTAGACTGACATGAGGCTATTTATAGTCCTAATTTATTTCCCTTCATATCAATATCCTACATTTCCCTACAGAATACTAATGGAGGGCGCCTGGGTGGCTCAGATGGTTAAGTGTCTGCCTTCGGCTCAGGTCATGATCCCAGCATCCTGGGATCGAGTCCCGCATCGGGCTCCCTGCTCCTTGGGAGCCTGCTTCTCCCTCTGCCTCTCTCTCTGTCTCTCATGAATAAATAAATAAAAATCTTTGAAAAAAAAAAAAGACTAATGGATTTGATTATGGTAGTTGCTCAAACCTGCTGCCCATGGGGTGAATTACACAGTATTAGATATAGTCACTGTATCAGTTTTCTGAAATCTCAAACTCTTTGAATTCTTTTTTTTTTTTTAAGTTTATTTAAGTGATCCCTACACCCGATGTGGGGCTTGAACTCACAACCGTGAGATCAAGAGTCACATGCTCTTCCAACTGAGCCACCCAGGCACCCCTATTTTTCCCTTTTAAAAAAGATTTATTTATGGGCACCTGGTGGTTCAGTTGGTTAAGCATCTGCCTTCGGCTCGGGTCGTGTTTGGGACCGAGCCCCACATCGGGGTCCCTGCTCAGCGGAGAGCCTGCTTCTCCCTCTCCCACTCTCCCTGCTTGTGCTCTCTCTCTGTCTCAAATAAATAATAAAATGAAATTTAAAAAAATAAAAATAAGAAAGATTTATTTATTTGAGAGAGAAAGAGAGAGCACGGGCTCACGTGCGCGAGTGAGGGGAGGGGCAGAGGGAGAGACAGAGAGAATCTCAAGCAGACTCCCCACTGAGCGTGGAGCCCAATGTGGGGCTCGATCGCATGACCCTGAGATCACGACCTGAGCTGAAATCAAGAACTGGATGCTTGGGCGCCTGGGTGGCTCAGTCAGTTAAGCGACTGCCTTCGGCTCAGGTCATGATCCCAGGGTCCTGGGATCGAGTCCCGCATCGGGCTCCCTGCTCTGCGGAGAGCTTGCTTCTCCCTCTCCCACTCCCTCTGCTTGTATTCCCTCTCTTGCTGTGTCTCTCTCTGTCAAATAAATAAATAAAATCTTTAAAAAAAAAAAAAAAAAAGAACTGGACGCTTAACCGACTGAGCCACCCAGGCGCTCCTAGATAATTTTTCCAAATTAGATCTAGCATGGACTCCCCCAACACATCAAAGAGCATACTGTGATTGCATTCACATACGTTTATTTTATAAGTTCGTATTTGTACAATGGAGCATCGACCACAAAGAACAGTGAAGAGTTTTAACGGAACCCGCTCTTGAAAATGGGGGTTTACCAAGGCCGCTGTGGGCATCTCTCAGCAAATTCTTAGGATTTGCTGTGTGCCAGCCAGGTATTGACTCACACAGATAACTGGCTTTAAATGGCAACCGGTTGACCCAACTGCTTGCGTCGCTATGTCGGGAAACTCTTCCAGAAAACCTCGAGAAGGGGCAGGAGATTGGGTCTTAGGGGCAACATTGAACATTGACACACACTCAACATTGTGTATCACACATATGGATGTTGTATGGGAAGCACCCAAAACCCACAATAAGCACAAATATACAGTCTGGATACTGCAATAAGATGGTAAGGAATGTCGCACTGTCCTTGTTAGGATACAACGACTCTGCCTTGATGGGAGAACAGCATGCAACAAGCTAACGTGCCTGAGGTCTTATTGAAGCTCAGACTCTTGAGGAAACAGCGAACACAGTAACACAATACACCGTGAGTGCAGGGAGTGCGGTTGCCTGCGCTGGAAACTTACAAGGGAGAAAAAGATCAGTAGGGAGCTACAAACTTCTAGGCCATCTAGATGCACTTGCAAGAAGAGTAAATATATACGTGGGGATGGCAGGAAAAGCTTTATCCCGACCACTGCACAAAAGAAAAGGATGGTGAGGCTGATGATTCAGAGTCAGCTGGGGGAGTTTACAGAAATCAGAGTCAGGTTTTTAGGGTGTCAACGTACGTGAGCTCTAAAAATTCCTTCTGTCTTGACGCTTGCTGGGGATGCAAGGACCTAAGAGGAATTTCTGACTGCCTGAGGGTGGATCCTTTGCCTGCACCCCGGCTGCCAAGGTGAAGGGGTGGGTAGAGAGAGAATCTCCACCTTTTGGCTCTGCTAGGGGGGCCTCAGGGGGTAGCCTCACAGAAATAAGAACAGGGGTTGGATGCTGGAATTCACAGATGTGACTGATACCCACCACAGTAATACGTTGGGGGTCTCCACTATCATGATTTGGCAGGTGAGAATCTGAGCTTCTGAGTGTGTGTGTAAATTGCATTTTTTTTAAAACCAAAGAAATTCAGCCCAAACCTTTGCAAATCCCTGAACTAATGGAAGTTTGCAAATTCGCAGACCGGATGCCCTGAATAAGAGCTCTGTCTACCCATGGACGTTTGGATTTTACCTGATTCATTTCTTTGTTTTTGTTGTTCTTCACCACGGGGGACTCAAAGTTAATTGCCGTTAATGGGTAACTCTTGAAGGTGACCTCTTAATTATTTACCTCCTTTTGGACTATTTCCTGAAAATCTTGCCTTTTGTTCTTTAGAGTGGGGTGCCCCCTCTGCCCAAGTCAGAGCTTCTGGAACTGAATTTGGGGAGACCCAAATCCTAATCCCAGGGGCCAATCAGAGCAGAAGAGTCCCACGTCTGACCATCCCTTGTAAGGGAGACTGAGTGTGCACAGGACAGCGACAGCTTTTGACAGAGTCAAACACAGAGCCCTGAGCTCCTCAGGTGCGGCAAGCAGGCAACTCACTTCGTCAGGCATGGTTTCTGCAAATCAGGGTGGCCCACTCGGGACGAGTTTGTGCCAGAAGTACCTTCAAGGTCCATCCTTTTAAAAGACCGAAAAAACAGGTCTAGACTTTGCAATGGCAGGATCTCCAGCAGTGCCCAAATCTAGAAGGGTCTGTGTCTCTTCCTGGCAACACATACTCAGCAAGAGGGGCTGTCCCTGAATCAGGACTCAGGGAGTGCTGAGGGGGGGATAGCGGCTTTTCTCCAGAGCAGGGATCTCCCCAACATGGTCCTCCTGCTTGGCTTTTCCTCGACTCTGGCAAGAGAACTTCTGCAAACCCTTGGAATCCCCGACCCTGTTCCTCCTCTTCCGTTTCCTTCAAACACCTGCTCACGCACGGTGGGGAGGGGGAGACAGCCCGAGGTCTCCATGGCAACAGTCGGGATGATGTGCTTCTCTGCCAGGACTGCGACCTCCCGGCTGGTCCCTTGGGGTCTCCAGGTTGTTAGACGTTGTTTGCGGGTTCTTCACTCAAAAGGTACCCTCACCCACTCAAATAATACTCACACACACACACTCAGGTGTTACTCCCACAGTCACACGTTGCCCACAACTACTCAGATATTACCCGCTCTAACTCATGTTACCTTCAGATTCAGATGCTACCCATACACTCAAATGGTACCACGCTCACTCATGTATTCAAGTAACTCAGATGTTCCCCTCACCTACTCAGACATTAATATGAGTGCCACGAGGGCAAGATTTGTCTATTTGGGGCGCCTGGGTGGCTCAGATGGTTAAGCATCTGCCTTCGGCTCAGGTCATGATCCCAGGGTCCTGGGATCGAGTCCCGCATCGGGCTTCCCGCTCCTTGGGAGCCTGCTTCTCCCTCTGTTTCTCTCTGTCTCTCATGAATAAATAAATAAAATCTTAAAAAAAAAAAAAAAAGATTTGTCTATTTGTTCCCTACTGTATGCCCAGTGCCTGAAAGAGCATCTGGTACACTGTGGGTGCTCAGAAAACATTTGTTGAGTGACTGAGTGATCCATACTCAACCAGATATTACCTACATCTACTCAAATGGTACCCATGTCCACTCAGATGTACCCCAGTAACTCACATGTTCCCCAGTCTCTATGAGTGCTGTGAAGGCAGGGATCTGTGTTGGATTTGCGTGCAATAGATATCTGCAGAATGAATGAATGAATGAATGAATGGCCCACGCTCAACCAGACGTTACCCCCATCACTCAGATGTAATCCACAAGTTAACTCAGATCAAAATGCCCTCCCCTCACTCACACTAGTCAGATGTTCCCCATCACTCAGATGACACCCATTCTCATTCAAAGTGACCCACACACCTGAGTCATACTCCCCACCCTCACCCCCATAATCTCCACACTCACTCAAATTCCCCAAACTAATTCAAAGGCTACCTCCCCTTCCGGTCATTCCCCCCACCCCCACTCAGATGTCACCTCCCCTCACCCTGCCGCCCCTTGCAGCCTCCCCACCTCACCTCACAGCTTCTTGTCAGATGCATGGTGCCGTCGACGGCTTTTCTTGTGCTTTCGCTTGCCTCTCTTGTCATCTCCAGCCTTGCTCTGCTTCTCCAGCGAGGCCAGGGGTGGCGCCCCGTCGGCGCCCGCGGGGGCCCCGGCCCCCGCCTTCTCCCCGGGCCCGGGCGCCCGGCACTTTCTGGCAGGCAGCTCTCTGGGGCCCGTCACTGTTGGGCACAGTTCCTGCCTCAGGACCCGGGCCACATCCTCCACCGTCCTGCCCTCACTCTGCAGGAAGAGGTTCAGCTTGGTCAGGAATTCTATGTCCTGCTTCCGGGGCATGTAGACCACTCTCCACATGCCGCCCTTGCCCTTGATCTCCCTGGGGATCACGGCATAATTGATGTCCTCCTCCAGCCTAATGATGGCTGCCTTGGATCTCTCTTCTTCCAGAAACGCCTTCCCGGCCACTTCGAACTTGCCCAGGGGCTTCAGGGGGACCCGTATGATCTCTTCGAACTCCTCATGGTTGCAGTCTTCCGGTATACCCAGGATCATCAGGGACTTGTAACTGTCCACCTCGAGCGCCTTGCACCCGTGCTCCAACAGAGCAATGTCCTTGACCCCGAAGAGCATCTTGCCCAGCTCTCGGAGGCAGGAGTATGCTCGCTGGTGCGCACCTGAGCTGCCTCGAGAATCCACAAAATTATCCAGGATGCCACGATCCCTTCCCAAAGGCTAAGTAGGAGAGCGGCCTCACGGGCCCGATTTGTCCCTCTAGTGGAGGATGTCCCTGGCCCTGCCCGCAGGGCTGCAGTGTCCAGCCCTCTGTAACCTTCCCCGGAGAGGGCTCTTGGGAATGCCCAGGGACTTACGCACAGTGAAACAGAGGTGGCGTCTGCCAGCTGGCTCGTGGGTCCCGAGGCTGGGCAAGGCCACACTGAGGAGGGTCTGAAGATGCACCTCCCCTTTCTTGGCGATGGTCTCCAAAGGTCTCACCCGTCCTCGCAGTCTCAGCAGATCTGGGACGGCGCGTCTCCCTGGGGCTGCGGCCACCGGGGTGTCGTGGATGGGGGCCCAGGACGCAGGGTGGCTGGTCTCTCGCGGCTGGCCCAGAGGGCTGCCCTCAGTGCCCTGTGGCCCCGGCGAAGACAAGGATGTGGTCTCTGCACTTGCTCCCGCAGTGACGTCACCGCCTCCTTCCGCGGCTCTGCGGCCCAGAAGTCTCCATGGCAACCGCTGGAGCATCGCCTCTGCCATTGGCCGGGGCCAGCCGCATTGAAATCAGAGTCCAAGGGGGTCACTCAGGGGTGAGGGGTCAGCCACCTTGCCTTCAAAAGCACCCTCCCTTCTCCTTAGAGAAAACGGCTGATTCCAGGGGAGAGGGGACAGAGAAGATACAAGAGGAGCCTGGAACATCCTTTTTTTTGGCGGGGGGGGGGGGGGGGGGGGGCGGGGGGGTCAGAAAGTAAGGAAATGCTCAAAGAATGATGAGAACAGGTGGAAGGACAGAGAGCCAGCTTGAAGGGCTCCCACTGGCCAAATCTGGGACAATTTGAGCATCAGTGTTAAAAAAATGAGATCATAAACCCCTTGATAAAATAAAAATCCACGGGTCTGTGGACATATTAATAAATGCATAAATGGAAAGTTTGGGTGGAAGAATGTGGGCTGTACGTTGTCTCACATAAAACTTACAAATCAAAGGGAACAAGAGTCTTTACCTTGGAATATCCTTGTTTGTAGGACACACCCAACAACATTCAGGGCACCATACTGGCAATTTTCTCACAAAATTGTTCAGGAGGGAAAAGAGTTCTTTGTACTGTACTTGCAACTTTCCTGTAAGTTTGTGATTGCTTCAAATATATTTTTAGAAAAAAGAAACGCCCTGCACATGGGATCACCTTCACGATGTCCATTTTTCCCCTTCCTACCCCAGTAATCAAAAGCCATCAGGTTTGAGTTGGATCAATATCCTCCAAACTCCCGGCTTCAGACTGGGTCAATGAATGGCTGGAACTAATCAGCATAATCCCACCCACCCCCCACCCCCGCCACAGTGATTGGTTCAGAAATGGTCACTTAGGTAACCCAGGCCTAAGCCAATCAGTGTGTTTTATCTCCCTGCTCACAGAGATTGGTGAAGGGCTGGATACAACTCAGTCCAATTAGAATGAAGCTTCGGATATTTGACACTAGTTATGAGGAGAAATATACTCTTTCCCCCTAGATGTGAAATAATGAATATGGGAGCTGCAAGAGGTCATCTTGAAACGAGGAAAGAAGCCATTCTGAGGATGAATTCCACATCCAGAGGAAAGCAGAGCTGAATCACAGAGAAACCAAGCCATTGTCCTGACGTCATCACATACTTCTGGATCAAACCATGCCTGAAACCTACCCCTCTGAAACTTTTTTTTTTTAACTTTTTAAGTGAAATACAACATTTATAATGAGAAGTGCACAAGTTATAGAGGAAAATCTGTAAACTGAACACATCGTGTAACCAGTATCCAAATCCAATAAATGAACATCATCAGCATTCCCAGAAGGGTGTCCTCTGCTTTCTCCAAGTCACTATATCCTGTCAAGGGTAGCCACATTCCTGACTTTCAATGGCATAGATCCCTTTTTTCTGGTTTTTTATTTTACATAAATGGAATCACATATTATGTACTCCACGTTTCTTGGTGACCATATACGTCCGGATCTGTCGGTTATAAGCCTAGGCAGATGCTAAGCTGTAGTAGATACTCCGAGTTTCCCAAGGTAATTGTATCATTTTATACTCCCCTAGTAGCGCTTGAGAGTTCCAATTCCTTCATATCCTCACTGACACTAGTTATTGCCAGAATTTTCCACTTTGGCAACTCGGGTGTGTATCTCCTTGTGATGTCTCCTGAGTGGAATCTCGTTGTGTTTTTAATTTGAATGTTCCTGATGGCCAGTGACATTGAGGATACTTTTTCAGAGGCATGTTGGCCATTTGGATATTTTGTGAAGTCTGTTAAAGTCTTTCACTTAAAAAAAAATTAGATTGTCACATTTTCCTTATTGATTTGTAATTAATGTAATCTGCATATTGTCTTGATTGTTTTAAGCTGGTCTGACTTGGATTTTCTGTAACTTGTATCCAAAATGCAGCTTCATTAACAAGGAAAGACTCCCAAGTACTTACTTCATTCAACATTTTGCTTTGTCTTTTTCACACCTTATAAGTATCGTGACCATGATTATATTATATTATATTATATTATATTATATTATATTATATTACATAGGTACAATATTGGGCTAGCATTTTTTTTTTAAAGATTTTATTTATTTGACAGAGAGAGACACAGTGAGAGAGGGAACACAAGCAGGGGGAGTGGGAGAGGGAGAAGCAGGCTTCCCGCCCAGCAGGGAGCCTGATGTGGGGCTCGATCCCAGGACCCTGGGATCATGACCTGAGCCGAAGGCAGGCGCTTAACGACTGAGCCACCCAGGCGCCCCTGGGCTAGCATTTATTATGAAATTTCTCTTCTCTCTCTCTCTTTCTCTTTCCTAAATTTCAAAGACACCTCTCCAACTCTCAAAGTATTTCCTCCTCTGGGTCATCCTGGGAGCTGATGGGACAAGTAGAATGTGTGAACTTGAGGGCAGGACTGACAGGGACCTGGGGGTGACCCAGGATGCAAAAAGCCCTTTAACTGGGGCGCCTGGGTGGCTCAGTCGTTAAGCGTCTGCCTTTGGCTCTGGTCATGATCCCAGGGTCCTGGGATCGAGTCCTGTATCGGGCTCCCTGCTCTGCGGGGAGCCTGCTTCTCCCTCTCCCTCTCCCACTCCCCCTGCTTGTGTTCCTGCTCTCGCTATGTCTCTCTCTGTCAAATAAATAAATAAATAAATAAATAAATAAATCTTTAAAAAAAAAAAAAGCCCTCTAACTGGAAGTCAACCTGAACTACACATTTGGCCTCTCCAGGAGACCCTACACCTAGTACCTCACGATGGCCCCCCAACCCATCTGTGAGCACCCATACTGAATGATTGGTGTGTTACCTCAGTGAGAACGCCAGGCATAGACAGAGTGACCTTGGACAATGTCTTGGGGATGGTCCATTGTTAGCTGGAGGGAATTGTTTAGGTCAGAGGCCACCAACTGCAAGCCTACAGAAGAAAATACAGATTTCTGACTTCCCTTAAAAATGAAAGAATCTGGGGCGCCTGGGTGGCTCAGTTGGTTAAGTGACTGCCTTCGGCTCAGGTCATGATCCTGGAGTCCCTGGATCGAGTCCCGCATCGGGCTCCCTGCTCGGTGGGGAGTCTGCTTCTCCCTCTGACCCTCCCCCCTCTCATGCTCTCTCTCTCTATCTCATTCTCTCTCTCAAATAAATAAATAAAATCTTTAAAAAAAAAAAAAGAAAGAAAGAATCTGTCAAAATAGACTCTCATTCTCATCCTATTAAAATCTGTTGAGGCCGAGAAGCTTCTGCCTCTCTTTAATGGAGTGCCTGCTCTCTAGTTTTTCACAGATCCTATCAGCCCCAATTGCACCCCACCCTGCTCTACATATGCATCTACATTATCTACCTTGTCTCTGTAGGTGCTAGAATTTGAGATACCTAATTTACACCGTTAACTTTTTTTTATTTAAGATTTTATCTATTTATCTGACAGAGAGAGAGACAGTGAGAGAGGGAACACAAGCAGGGGGAGTCGGAGAGGGAGAAGCAGGCTTCCCGCGGAGCAGGGAGCCCGATGCGGGGCTCGATCCCAGGAACCTGGAATCATGGCCTGAGCCGAAGGCAGACACTTAACGATTGAGCCACCCAGGCGCCCCACCATTAACTTTTTAAAAAATATTAATTCACCCTTCAACATCTTTGAATTATTCTCCACAGAGGGATTTTTTTTAATTTAATTTTTTTTTCCACAGAAGGAGTTAAACACTGACTAATGGTGGAGATCCAGGTCATCCTGAGCACAGAAACCTTCACTTCTGTGTCGAACTCCCCCACAGCAGGAGTTGGGGAGGGAGTGCAGCCTGGCTGGGAGGGGGCAGCCAGGCTGTGCCCCCCCCCCCACAGAGTCTCCAGCCCCCTCCCAGCCAGGCTGCGCCCCCCTCTCCCCACTGTGTGTGTGAATGAATGGATAAAAAAAATGTGGTATATATACATGAATTCATATATACATAAGTATTACTTAGCCATTAAAAATCGGGGTGCCTGGATGGCTCAGTCAGTTAAGCATCTGCCTTTGGCTCAGGTCATGATCCTAGGGTGCTGGGATCAAGTCCCGCATCGCATCAGGCTCCCTGCTCAGTGGGGAGTCTGCCTCTCCCTCTGCCCCTCCCCCTGCTCATGCTCTCTCTCTCTCAGATAAATAAATAAATAAAATCTTAAAAAAAAAAAAGAAGGAAATTATGCCATTTGAAACAACATGGATGGATCTTGAAGGCATTATGTTAAGCGAAATACGACAGAGAAAGACGAATACCTTATGATCTCACTTATATGTGGAATCTTAAAACAAAAAAACCCAAAACAACCCAAAATGAACTCCTAGATACAGAAAATATTTTAGTGGTTGCCAGAGCTAAGTTAAAGTAGTCAAAAGGTATACACTTCCTTATCATGGAACACTACATCTGAAACATCTGAAACACTACATCTGAAATGATGTAATGTATGGTGATTAACATAACAATAAAACATTTTTTAAAAAGGTATACACTTCCTGTTACAGGATAAATAACTCCTGGGGACGTAAGGTACGGCATGGTAAGTATAGTTAGTATTACCGTATTGCGTATTTGAAAGTTGCTAAGAGAGTAGATCTTAAAAATTTGCATCATAAGGAAAAAAATTTTTGTAACTATGTGTAGTGATGGATGTTAAAAAAAAAAGTATGTCATAGATTAATGAATCCTTGGGGCTCCGTTGCATTTCCCTGGGATTATGCACATTCCAAGTTGAGAAGCAGGAGACAGAATGGTTCATTTATTCGATCCCCCAATATTGACTGAGAAGTTTCCTTGTTCTAGGCTCCGGGCCATGTGCTGGGCATACTTGAGTGAGTGAGACAAGCTCTGCTTTTAGGAGCTCGGTCTGGTGGTTAGGACAGACTAGGTCAGTCTGTTTACCGCCAGATGGATAAGCCCTGTAATTATCATGAACATGTGTTCTGATCGCCAGTGTATGAATGAAGTCCTGACCCCAAGATGGATGAACCTTGAAGACATCATGCTAAGTCAAAGAAGCCAGACACAAAAAACCACATGTTGTATGATTCCACTTG